TCTGGTTCTTGATCAGAAGCCAGTACAAACATACACCTAAAAAAGATTAGAATCTATGGAGCGTTCATTATACTAAACTGTATGGTTCATTAATTTGGAAAAAACTATTAGCAAGCCAGCCAAATTTAACCACTAGTAATTTATACTATCCAGTTTGGCTTAATTCAAGCGATATCAGCAAATCATAATCCTTAGCAAACACTAATCATTATTCATCACATTAACAAAATGAATCAAGCAATATTCTAGCATTAGATAAAAGCAATTCTTTTTAGCTCCCTTTTGTTTTTCAGACCGCAGTCATGGCACAGCTCAAACCCTTCTACAATTTTTTGTGTCAATTTTCCTTGTATAGTTCCACGTTAGACTCATTCTCCTTAAAGCCAGCATTAGATATCTCATCTGCTTATCCACGGAAGCACTCACAGAGGCTATCAAGAGGTTGTCAAAAGGCAGAGAACGTCACAGTCTATAAGGAGCAAAATATTGCTTCCCTTGCAGATGGCACCCAGTTTTATCTCAGCAAAACACCAGCTTCTAATCAATGTTGTTAAGAATCTTAGAGACCAACAGCCATACAACTCAGGTTTCTGTAAATCTGACACAGTTGGAGGCAAAGCCATAGTGAGAATTAATTTTGCCTGCCACTGTCAGCCTGGTTACAAATAACTGAATACCTGAATGCAAATATCTGATATGAAGTGCCCTCATAATATCTCTCCTGAAATACTGTGTTCTTAGTACTTCTACCTACATGATATTTTAAAAAATAAGGTATGTAAACTATTCACTAGTACTTTAGATGGCATTGAAGGAAACTAAAATCAGCTTAACAAGGCTTACAAAAAAAAGGCAAAAAAGTCATGACCTTCTCAGTTGGACATGTTGCAGGTGGTCAGGGCTAGTCAGGTCCTGGCTATGGGTTACTAATCCTCTGAAACAAGCAGCAAAGCAGTTGAGAAGCATACTTTTGTTTCCCTTTTCTGTTCTTTCCTATTTGGTTTAGGTAGAATTAACAGAACAGCAGTCAGGAGCTGTTTAGGGTTCCCATGCTCTGCCAGTCAAAACCCTCCCCTATTAGCATCGGTGTCTGGATTCAACTTCGAGCAAATTTTATTAAAATATGCCGTAGGGCAAAATCCAAGCACGTGAAGCACAAGCCAAATAAATTAGTGTATCAGAATAGTCAGTATGTGAAAATGGTTGGGTTTTATAACAGAAGCTGTTCATTGTTTTTGTAACAGACAAAATTGCTGTCTGATCTTCAAATGTGTCATTTAAAATTAAATCTGTGAAGGTTGTCTTTACTTTAGCTTTTTTTCCCAAAGTTTTAGAGGTCTGTGAACTTCAGCTAGAAGCCTATCAAAAGGAGTAAAATAAATCCAAAGGAGAAAAATACTTTGTTCCTGAAATCCAAGGACAAGCTCACCTACATATATGTAGATAAAAAATTAGGCTATTTTTGGTTGCGGGGTGGTTTGGTTCCCCCCACTCCCCAAATAAATATATTGCAAGTATAATCCCAAGTGTTAGTCAGATTTAGCTAGCAAAAACCTCACCAAGGCATCAGGTTTGCTGTGACATACTTGGCTCAAGAAAAAAAGAGCATTTTTCTCTAAAGCAGTAACTTAAGAAAGTAGACTTCTTTATGGTAATCATTGTGCATGTTTTATTACCCATTTTCATGGCTAATTCAAAACCTGGGCATTCTTGATTTAAAAGAAGCCTATTTGAATCTCATTCGAAAGGTTTTATGTCATCTTGTACAACTTTTTCTTTGGAGGACGGGAGGGTATGAAGATTTACAGCGTGACATCCTGCCCCTGCTGCTCTGCTCGGGGCTGACAAACGGTTTATTGCCGTCTCTGGAAGCAGTGTGAAGGACACTGCCCGTCCCCGGCTGAATGTGCCCTCGGCTCCTGCTATGTTACTACTTGAATTTTGATAATCTGTTTGTTTACAAAGTCAAAATATAGCTTTGCTGGTCAAGGTAGAGGCAAACATCCAAACCGCAGGTTTCTACAAAATGATTTAAATAATCCTAGTTTAGGATTACTGAAGTAATAGTAATATGGAGTAATAGTATTAAGTAACAATAATATTGAAAGTAATACTGAAAATTATATTGAAAGCCAGTGGCTTTCAATACCATCTCAGTAAACCCTGTTCTAGAGTGCAGCTGTATGTTCACCTTCCTCCCTTGGGAAGAAACTCTTAATGTAAGCTAAGAAGAATACTGGTTTTGTAAAAGATGCAAGCACCAGATGCATGTGCTTCTTGTATATTTAAAAAAGATGATTCAAATGGCAACGAATAATGCCTGAACATTGATCACTTTTTCAAATGGATGAGTTTGGGGGGTTTTTTTATTGTCAGTTCGAGTTTTACAGAATTAGATACTGAAATGATAAATGATCTTGCTATCTTGCGATTCTGAGTCAAGAACATAAAAACATATTTGTCGTCGCAGCCAGTAACTGCTACTTACAGTGACCTTGATGACTTTCCCAAACTAACTTTAATCTTAATACAACCTATTCTGCTTATTAAAATAACAAACCCCAGCACTTGCTTCCTCTCTCTTCATTCTGTCTCCATTGCTCCCTTTCCAATAACACAAGTGAAATGTCTACCTTGTAAAGCCCTGTCTCAGTGGCCACATTTCTTTTAAGTAATAACTTTGATCTTCATTGCATAGTTTGAGGGTGTTGAGATTTAACAGACAGCATTTTTCATATTGATTGTGCTGACAGGGTACACTCATTTCCTATCGTCTTTGCAGTATGGGCAGCAAATATGGCCTTGTCCCGCTTTTCAGCAGCATATTTGGACTTGGCTTTGTTTAAAGAGCTGTACCAAAAGTTGATTGTAACACTAACTGAAATGGCACATGTTATAAAGTCGATATTGCTGGTTATTTTTACTGTTTATGTTCCTTTAATTTCTGTCTAACAGAAAACTGAGTATGTTGCTGCTTTGCCTCACAGCCTCTGGCCAACCAAAGTGGTTAAACTGGCTGAAGTTCCCTGATTTTTTAACTGAATTTCGCTGAAATAAAATGAACGAGTGTGATTAAGAGTTGGAACTCCTAAATGCCACATAAGTAGGAACCAGCAGCAGATGTCACTCAGTAAAGTAGACCATCTCAGCAGATGGGCAAATATGAAACGCAAAGGCTTTTCCTGACATCATTTGGTTTTAATATCATAGAAATAAAATGCCTTGTCAGTAAAATATAACCAGACAGTTGCTTAGTAGTCATTTTGGGTACATGGTTGGTAATTCAAAGTCCTGCTGCCTTTGCAATATTAATTATTCTGTGCCTCGTTACAGCAAGAATACGTGTCAGACCAGCTGAACGTACCACACGCAGCTGTCGTGGCTCAGAAGTATCTGTTCCTCTATTTGCAATTTAACGTTAGTAAAAGATAGAAGAAAACAACTTTTGTGGGTCGTTTCCAGGATGCTAGTTGATGTACCAGGCAAAATTAGAGGTGGGATTTCATCCCATGTTTTGGGGTGTTTTTCCCCCTGCAGAGGTATGTGATGTGTATCTCGGAGTAGAAAAGCAGTTCCGTAGCGCTGAGAGCTGTCAACGTGAACCGCCTCGGGGGAGCTGGGCCTGCAAGCAGTGTACTTAATGACATATGTTCCCATTAAAACGTGTAAGCTGTTCTCTTGTACAAGTGGTTAACACCTTTTTAATCAGGCTATTTATTTCATTACAAAAATAAGTACCCCGAGTTGGAAAATGACAGTATTTTATGGTCAGCAGTTTCCGCATCTGGCTGTATGTATATATATTTATGCGTATATAAAAGTAAGTATAAACAACTAAGTAAGTATACACAACTTTCGGTGTGACTGAACATATCTGAAGCACACATGAACATAATATACTGCTCATAGCACACATAATACATACTCTTAGTGTGAGCAAAAGCTGTGGTACTGAGTAGTATCCTGATGCCATCAGAGGTGCTGTTTAATTGAGAGCTGCTTCTCTTAAATACAGAAGGTAGCTGATGTCTGCTGCTTTCAATCTCACATTTCAACATGCTTATGAAGTAGAAATTTTGATCTTACGAGCACAGGTTAGGAGCTGTCTGTTTCACTGGGTGTTGAATTTTCTGAGAAGGATGAATTATCTGGTGTCCAAGGAAAAATCATATTTTTAGTGTATTTAATTACTACTCGGGTTGCTTATCACATTTTCTAGGTTGACTTTTTCAATCCCAGGTTTTGTTATTTTGACTGTCCCCTTTATTAATTGTTAAGCTCATCTTTTGTGACAACACCCAGAAGGCACCCTTTTATAAATCAAAAGTAAATACATTACCCTACCTTGCAGGGGTGCCATAAGGCTTAATTAGTTCATTTTTGTAAAGTGTTCAGAGATTCCCAGATCAGCTTCAAATGTTTATTATTAATTATAGGCTCTAGTGAGTATATTGGATGATTTCTTAATTTAATTGTCTTCAGGCATCCTTAAAAAACTAATTTTGTAACGTCTTTGTTCTTTTAAATTCCTAAAGCACTTTTGCTCTTGGCTCAAGAAATTCTGTATACATTTTCCTACCACTTACTGTATTTTTAGTTCTGGACTAGTATGAAAAACAGTCTTTTACTCTTTTCCCAATGAATTCTGCTATGTGGATTATTCTCTAATACGAAGGTTTTGTTTAAACATTATATAGTGGGGTTTTTTTCCTGCAGTGGGGGGTGTTAAGTAATTTACTTGGCTTCCCCCGGGAAATTTGCAGAGATTACACGGCACTGCTGTGATTTATCATTTCTACTTTATTTCTGACTCATAAAGCATGCATTATTTTGTGTTTACCTTCAGCAACAGATCACAGGAAATTTCATCATCAATCAAAGCACTTTAAAATCGGGAGAAGTGATGATGTGACAAAGGCACAGTCAGCAGCTGTGGTTATTGGAGGATCATTTATTGCTTTGTCGTGTCGTAACACTTCTCATTTTATTGCTTTTCCCAGGATCAGGTTCATGTCGCTTTAGTTACTCAGATCCCAGCATCACCGTGTCCTACAGTAAGAACAGTTCTGCAGATTGGACTCAGCTGGAGAAAATTAGGTTTGTTACAGTTTTTTAATAATTTTCATGCTTTCCGGCTGAGCAGGTGGTGTTTAAACCTGGCTCTTTTAAAACTTGTTTTAATTGTTAACTTTTCAGTTCTCACTTGTTCATACACATTAAAAGACGAGGGGTGAAATTATGGTCACTAAAGCTAATTGCAGAACTGCGACTGGGTTTGCTAAATCACAGTTTCATCCATTGATTATCTGGGAGGTAAGAAGGAGAATGACTTCAGAGTCAAAATGCAACTCTGATAACCAGCAGGTTCAGGGCCCTGAAAAACCAAAACTTTGATGACTTTTGCATTTTAGCACTGCTTTTAATGTCAGCAAGAGCCATAATTTATAGTCTTGCAAGTTTCTACTTGGGTAGTATAAAACATTCAATAAAAATAGTTTACAGTTTGATGTGAACACTTGGCTCCTAACACTCTTATAATAACAAGATTATGGTGAATTATGCCTTGTTCTTAAACAAACTGGTTTACATGAAAGTGCAAAGTATTATGAATGGGGATTTTAAAATCTTTTATAGCAATATGCACACGTTGAAAAAGAAAGTCAGTGTCAGAGATGGATTTTTCTAAGAGCGTGGAACCAACATTTTATTAAGTAATATTAGGAAAGGTATGTTGTGCATTGAGATGTATACATAGTTATATAAGTACAACTGGGAAAGAAAAAATGCTGCTTATATGTTGTGTCCCCATAGCATCTCAGTCCGCCTTCCTGCATTACCTTAGTGTCTGTGTCACACAGGTGACTTGCTTGAGACTGTCTTCAGTCCATTGAGACAATGTGCAGAGCAAAAAGATACTGAATTTCTGATGAGTAAGCAAAACTCTAGCTGCAAGGCTGTGGATTTCAGTATCTCATCCTCCCACTCCTTGTGTGAGTAGGATTATGATTTCATTGACAAAGGCACAAATTCTGAACAATTTTAGTAAAACAAATGCTGCTAACTCTTACCTCAGAAAAATACAAAGTAAGATTAACTTCACTGCAGGCACTAGAGTTGCCTCAGGGTAACCACACAATGCCTTCTATGTTTCTCACATTGATGCAAAATTATGTACCTGGTCTGTAACATCAGTTCAGTTACCCTCATAGCTCTGCAAGCAGGAAACTCAAGAGTTGTGATGGTGCAAACACAAGCCCTTGAAACGCAGCTTTTTGAGGTTAATGCATATACAGTTTGATCTGTGCTGCTTTAACTTTGACTGCTGCAGCTGGCAGTAGAAAATAGGTCAACAGAGCAATATGTCGTGCAAAGTGGAGAGGATGAATTATGAAAGGATGCTCGTTTCTCCTGTGGTCCGTATGAATTACAGTGTTTGAGTGTGCTTCAGTGGCTTTCACTGCACTACATGCAGCTCCAGGGAACAGTGGGAACTGGGAAGAGGTGGGACAGGAGGGCAGCTGTGAAGGGACGGTGTTGTGTTGGTGTGTTGGTCTGTGTTGCGTCAGCGGGATTTCAGCTCTGGACTCACGAGCTGGAGGAGAAGGATCTCTTGGGGAAGACGGGTGCTGTGTGTGGGCTCAGGGAGAAGCGAGGACAACGTTTCAGAGCAGCATTGCAGTGAGGGGTGACAGACATAACATCTAGCAGATGCAGAGAGATTTGTGGGGGCAGATTCTGGGTGTGAATATGGGACAAATGCAGTTGCTTTTCAGCATTTCACTACACTCTAATGTTTTGCTTTACAAAGACAAGTTCCTCTATTTTCTGCTATATAAGCTATATAAGCAAGCTATTGGTGCCTTTTTTCTCTAAAAGCTCTGTATTGTCTCTGACAAACTATTCACCCACCAAATCATGGCTACCAAGGCAGAGGCAGGGTTGAGTAGCTGACATCTTGCAAACCCCAATTTTGTAACTCCTTGCAACCTGAGGTTTAAGTGTAGCTAATTCCCTTACTGGGAGATTAATAAAACAAAAATAATAATTCTGAACACCCCTTCCTTGCACGAAGATCTCAGTCCTTTCATTGCCACTAGCAATGTAAAGACATTCACTCAGAGCCTGGGGTGAACCTCAACCCTTTCACAGCTCTGAGGACAGCTCTGGGACGCAGAGCTCAAGGTCTTGATCATTGTCTAATACTAATACTCCAGGTCTGCCTCTTCTCCCCACGTTTTCCATTTCTAGCAGCAAGAGAGAGGACAAATCGGTTTTCTTCTGTATTATTCTTGAAGCAGAACATGATAAAAAAAAGCAACCTGGCCTTCCGTATCCACAGAATTATCCTGACAGCAGGGGTGTGGGACTGAAAGAACACATTTGTCAGAGAAAATTCACAGCTGTTCCCTCCAGCCATTCTGCTCCATCCTGATCTATGAGGGACTGAGGCATCAGAAGTCAGGAGTTTCTTTTGGTGAAAGCTCATCAAAAATCACATTTTGGGAGACCTGTTTTTGTAAAGTGCTTCCTTAATATTTCCTTTTGGCCATCCTGCAAAATACCTGACAATGCCCAGTCACCTGGGAGCTATGACCAGCATTGAGTATGAGCGTGCCCTGCTCTTTCTTCCTGCTCTCCAAACACCTGCATTGATCTGTTATTTATTGCCTTAGCTTGCACTTTCTTTGAAGCAGGGCTGTCTGTTCGGGCTGTATGTGCACTGCCTGGCACAGTGGGACTCTGCCTCAGGGCAGGTATTTTCTGATCTCCATAGAAGATTTATCAGCATACAAGGGACATCAGCACCACAGCGTCACACCTAGTAAATGTGTTAAATGAGGGAAAAGTGTTCCTTGGCTATAGCTTAAACTTGGTCTAATTCCATATCATTGTTTTTCAGTGCCCCTTCCAACGTCAGCACGATCATCCACATCTTGTACCTTCCTGAAGATGCTAAAGGGGAGAACACCCATTTTCAGTGGAAACAAGATTATGTTCATGCTGGTGATGTGTATGAAGCCTGTTGGGCATTGGACAACATCCTGATCATAAATGCTGCTCACAGAAAAGTTGTATTAGAAGATAATCTTGATCCTGTGGATACTGGCAACTGGCTTTTCTTTCCTGGGGCCACAGTTAAGGTTAGTCTGATTTTCTATGGCTTAATGTTATTATTACTTTTGTGTGTAGAAGAAGACAGTAACATCTAACCAAACTCTGAACACACAAGGGTGTTTAGGCCATCGCATCTGCTTCTAGAATTGGCCTCTTTTTTGCTTTGTTTTTACCTTTTCTCTGTCCCATTGGGGCTTTCTAGAACAATGCAACTTCTCTGCCGTGACCAAAAGCAAGTGACAGTTTATATTGTCATGTCAAAGATCATGTAACAGAAAAAGGGAAACAACTTCCTTTCAGAAAAATAGTGCAATATTTCTGAAACAAAGTCAAGTGCCCCCTTTGGATATTTGAAATCTACCTCTTTGTTTATCTTGCTGGCGTTTGGCTACCGCTACTTACTTCATCACAAACCATCACAAAAAACTATGGTTTCCCAGTTTTTTGACTGTGACTGTCACATGTCTGTCGCAGCTTGCATTCAGGTAGTGGCTGCTCCTTAAAAGTCTCTTTTTCACTAAGATCGTGTTTTGATATATGAGATCCAGCAAGATCATGCAACCTTGGGAAAAACTCTAAGGAGCCCTACAAGATCTCCGTGCACAAAGTTCCTTCAAATGCAGAGTTGTTCAACATGTGGAAATCAATTGGATTCTTGCTTTCTATGTTTCCAAGCAACCAGAAGTTGAACAGCAGATGACTTATGTTTTCATGCTATTTTTCATTCACAAAAAAGGCAGTTTTGATGTCAGGTTTCATTTATGATGCTGGTAATGGTTTTGGCAATTGCACAGGAAACAGATGTCAAATACTGAGAGCTGTAAGAGGTTGGTTATGGCCTCATCCTTTTCCCACAGAACCTGATAGGAATGGCCTTGGATTAATCTTTTCAGAAACAAACAGTCCCGCTAATCTGCTCATAGTACCTGCATGTTTTACTTCAATAAGACCATTTAAACTACAATGACAGGGTTTTTATATGAGATTTTAGAATCAAATAATGCCCTGCATTTTTAATGAAGTAATTTTCTGTGAGCAGTTCACATTTGTTGTGTTGTCAGTCTTTTAAATCCAGCCCACATATGTGAAAGTGTGAAAGCAAAGCCAGGATTAATGTGCCATAGGCACAGTTACTTCTTGTCAGCTGGCCAAGCCTAAACACTGCTTGCTCCTTCTGAAACATGCACAAACAGTATCTAAACTTTAGCAAGTAAACCTCTTTTTTTGTTGTTGTTTGTTTTGTTGATGGTGGTTTTTCGGGGTTTTATTTAAACTTGTAACCATATAGAAATACGATTACATGAAAGACAAAGGACCTAAACTCAGAGATCACTCAGTGATTCTAGACAGAAATCCCATTCAAGCTCAAATCTTATATGAGAGGTGAGTGAGGACTCACTGCCGTTCCTCCAAGGCCATCTTCTGGTTTAGGGACAAGTGAAACGTGCAAATGTCTGTTCCCAACTGACATTTGGCTGTGTGTAGCCACTTACACCAGGTTAAGGCAATGTGCAAGACTGTGGAGTTGCCACACTGGATTAAGGCTATGTGTGGTACAGGGCTTTTATTCTTCATGAGACCTTGTAGTTATTTCAAACATTTTTAGTGTATCATCTAGCTTGTCACCAGAGCACTCCCAGACTCAGATTTCATTTTTCAGGTTTCTACTCCAGTTTTCCTCAAATTTTCAGGAACAATCTTGTCAAAATTTGAACAGATTTTGTAATGCGAGTTTCATGTTATGTGAAAAGTAAAACTATAAATTGGGTCGAGATTTACATCAGATTCAGCATAGATCTTATCCTAGTTGTGTAACACCAAGAACAATTTTTTTGACAATTTTTTTGTGCTTTTCAGGTTTGGAAAATTATATAAAGCTTTATAAAAACTTTCAATATTTTCTTTGAAACATTTAGCATAGTTCTAATCTCAGTTCACACAAACACACTATTTTGTATAAAAGGAAAGGTAAGAACCTTTATATATTGTGTTAATGACATTACATCACATTTTAAATGTAACCACACCAGTCACCTCTGTTTCAAGCAGCATTTCACAGCAGACAGATGACTTGTCCAGCACAACGGCAGAATGACCACAGCAATGGGTGGTGCATATTCACAGGATTGCCAACATTGTTATTGCTAGTATTATTAAGGCTTTCAGGCTGCAAGAGTTCATAGAAACTGGGAGAGGCTTTTAGGAGATTTCTCTGTCATAGCCAAAGGCAATGGCCTGCACAATAATGTTGGAGAAGCCCTGGCAGTGCTACAGGGACAGCTTGCATCAAAGTTAATTCTAGTTCTCTTTTTCATGCAAGTCCTCTTGCTTCCCAGACATCTAAAACTCACTAAATAGTTCTGACGTTTGTTCAGAAAGTCTATATAACAATTTTAAATTTTTATTTACATTTTTACTAAGGGACCAGCAAATTTCATTGCTATACTCTGACGTCTTTTATAACTCCCACCTATGTGCTTTTTAAAGAATTTCCCATACTCATAGTCTATCACAATGACAAACTCCAATTCAAGCTGATTAGAACTTTTTCTCTGCCGCCCAAGCCTGTTTGTGCCATACCAGTTTCAATTCATATCCTCCTGTCCTTTGTCAGTTAGTATTTTAGATAAAGTGGCCTTAGAAATCTTCCTTAAGTTTGTGTTAACTTCTTCACTGGCTTCCTTCGGTCCTTTTCTGTATGAGTTTCCTTAACAATGCCAACAAACAGGCACGTTTCTGGATGTTATTTGTTGTCTAACTCAGTTTTGATCAGTATATACAAGACTGTGGGTCAATTGTTTTCCTAAATTGTGATGTAAAGATAAGTAATTTCATTGGACCAAGGGAATGAAATATTAAGAAAAACAAAAAAGAAACAAGGAAAAAGATCTTTCTAAATTTCTTCCATTTACTGGGGTTATTTTCTGTATTCATCCTTTCTTGCTCACCACCGTTCACCATCCAGAATGACTGATATTGCATACTTCTCCGGTGGAAGGGCTGTGCCAGTCTGAGATAGCTCATCCAGGTGGCAGTCAGAACTGAAAGAAGAGGAAAAAAATACATAATTATTTCTGGTAGAAAAAGGAGTAGAAACAGTCTTTCTCCAAGTGTTTACTTTTTCTCTAAAAGTTTACTTCTGGACTGCCCCAGCAGATGTTGCTCAGATGGTGGAACCTTCTCCTTGGAGGTTCTGTGGCACATCCAGGGTAGTGAATGAAGCAAACAAGGGTACGAACATGAAGCCCATGATCTTGCACACCTTAGTTGTTACAACAACCCCTTGCTGGTCTTTGGTTTGTGCAACCTCCCAGGTATTATCTTTAAGGGATGTATCCCCATGGATGGGCCAGTGACTGTTTCCAGTAGGCTGCAGGGATGACACCTCTCTTCTGGGAGGAGAGACTTTGCCCGGATGGATGCAAACTCTGCTGCATCATTTGCTGTCAAGGCCAGAGAACGGTCCCTGGCCTAACCTGGTTACCATTATGGTCCTAGCATGTTAGAACTGCCCACCCTATCCATCCCTTCAGCTATCCCAAACCTTTTAAGAGAATTCTTGTTAAATACCATTTTATTGCCTTAGTGGGTTACTCTGTTAGTAAAGATAGGCATTAAGATATGTTTTGTTGGCAGTTTAGAATAAATATTGCTGTTGCTCACATAGTTAGATGTGGTTCAGCAAGTTCTTTCCCAATAGTTGCTCAGGTGGCGGCTTTTGGAATTAGTTGTTATACCTGGTACATGCTCTTGTTGGATGTTTATCAAGTTGCAAAGAAAGTACATTTTTTTCTGTAGAAGGATTACTTTGGTAGTACTTGAGGTCTACTAAATTAAATAGCAAAAGTTGCAAATCCAGGAGTTTTGCTGGTAAAACTACCCAGATTAATGGCTGCTTAGATGAATAACATAAAAAGATAGCTGAAACAAAGAAAAGTACTACCATGAAGACTGTTGTCTGGGTCCAGGATTAGGTTCCTTGATGGATTCAGTCACTGTGCACCGACGTGTTCACTCCAGTTTGGTGGATTTGGACAGTACGTTCTCAATAAGCACTTATGGGAACTTGCCTGTGCCCAGCTTGGGAAGTGGTTTCTCCTCCTCTCCCAATCTGCTTGAGCTTGGACCAGGAATTTCATTACGTTTCTTGCTGCGCTCAGGAGCGGTTACTGCTCATTTGATAGCACATGGCTGGTTGCAGACGCAGCTGGAACTGGCTACTGAGATAGGAAGCAAGCTGAGAGATAAGCCACTGAATTTGTGTGTTTCAGTTCCAAAGAAGACAGAAAAAGACAAGAAAGGCGCTGTTAGCAAGGCCAAGCAACCCTTAGGAGATTAATTGGATCCACTGGAATGTATTTATCTGTGTTGGACTGTCTGAAAGGGTGTTGAACAGGATAAATTCCTGACTGCATTTCAATATTTCCAGTGACAGCTCTGAGCATGAGCACAGCCTTGCAACCGAGCACGGCTAGGATGTTGCACTGGTGGTTGAGACCGCTGAAACGCATGAAGCACTGCTATGCTCGGAGAGCTGTTAAAGGTCTGTGAACCTCAAGACTTCATAGCTAATTGGGGGAAAAGATGAAGTCTTCTTCCTTCAGTAATGCTTCTTGCATCTCTCCTCCTATAGAACAGAAAAGCGATCTCATCTTTCAGTGGACAATTCATATTTCTTGTATATTTGACCAGAAATAGTTGTGTTTTGAGGTACAGCATTCACTAAGTTTTTCAGTTTTCTCTGATTGCCCTGGTTCAAGATTGGATGTGCAAGCTCAAGAACTGAGGTTGAGAAGGGAGACAACCTTGATAGCCTGTATAGTTTATGTCCCTGCAGTGCTTTGATTACATAAAAACAGCATGGAGACTAAATCTCCTGTCTCTGGAATTTTTCCACATCTGTGAAAAAACAGTATAGATCATTACAGACACTAGAGCAGCGATGTATTTGGTCATGATGTGTTAACCCAGTGACACTTATCACCTCTGAGAAGAGTCAAATTACAGAATTTCTGTCTCTCAGTAG